TGTGAGGGATTGCGGTGCGTTCCAGCAGCTACCGCTCTGGAACGCACCGCATTCGGTGTGAACAAGCCCTTAGACCTTTATCACAGGACCACATCTCCATTGGAAGATTTCCTCCCTATTCCTCTTCTGGTGGCAACTCAAAACGTTAAATTTATCTTCAGTCATTCCAGGCGGCAGTGAAGATCAGGACAATTGGAGAAGGTGAATTCCTCAAACTGAGACAGGTAAACAAATGTGACGGTGGTTCCCACCCCTCACCACTTTATTGCTGTCAGACTACCACAGAGCCGGCATTTTATTGGCTGGTTCGTACGAACCTTTTCCGACCAGCTCCTTCAATCAGCTGAATGAGGAATGCCGACGGTGGCAAACACTAAGAATTTTGCCCGGTCCCTCAAAAACTGGTCGAAATTTGCCATGTATGGCCACCTTTAGTCGGTTTTGTGTTTCCATGGTTGCTGACATCTTGAAACACATGCCAGCTTCTAAATCTCTCGAGGGACTCTTGTGATGTCCCTTCAATGACTTTCCTAGCTAGTATGTCAGATAAAATCCACCAAGGGCAGGTAGTCTTTATTATATATTTAACATTCATCACCCTTTTCCATCCAAAACCTGCTGGCACATAGATTGAGTGGCTTGCTGAGCAGAGGTACAATAAACAGCCCGATTCAACCTACCCGTCCTCGTTCCTTCCTGTCTGGGGAACAGATTGGGCTCAAAGTACAAATGTTTCAGTCTATACATTATCCTGTGAAGGGTGCTCCACGTTCTCATTGGGCATGGTGCTTGGCACGCTCTCCTCACATTGCTGGACTCTGCTGGGGTAGGAACTCATTTGAACGGTTCAAACTGCAGTAATGTCGGGGCTTTATGAATGGGTAAAAGGAGAAACATGTATGTGACTTTGCTAATGTTCTGTATTGAAATCCAAACTGATCACTAGTCTTCAATGATGTCATCTTCTACTTTGTATTAATTACTCTGTATGAGCTCTCTGCTCTCCTCTCTGTTCTGCATCATGCTAATGGATTTTATAAATGGAATCAAATGGCTGACATGTAACGGCCTTTGTTGCAGATGTTTAAGAAATCATTCATGGTCAGCAGTCATTGTCTATCTCCTTATTCAATTGAGTTGTAATCCCTTAATTTATAAATAGAATAATTGTCTCATGATACATCAGTATGATGATCAGCATGTGGTGTGTAATTTAAACTAGAGGCTGTTCACAATAACCCTGTTTAAAGCCTGCCATACACCTAGAGATTATCTGCAGATTTTCTATGGTCAGATGGAAAAAGTGCAACAGATTCCTCCATATATGCTATACTGTGTGGATGGAGGAATCTCCCACTGGTCCAAGCGTCAGTATCTTGCTAGTCAGCCCCACCGGCTCTCATGGCAGCATCCAATCAGATTGTTCAGGTATTTTGAGAACCAGCGGGACCGACTAGCAAGATACTGAAGCTTGGCCCAGCGGGAGATTCCTCCATCCACACAGTTTAGCGTAGATGGAGGAATCTGTTGTACTTTTCCCATCTGACCATAGAAAGTCTGCAGATAATCTATAGGGGCATGGCCAGCTTTACAATTGGATATTATGTTAACAAAACTTTGCTCCTTTTTATATTAAATGGTCATTTGGGATTTTAATTTAGTGGGGTTTTCGTTTTTTGTGAACTTTAGATGATTGTGTATGGGAAAACAATTCCCTGGGGAGGTACTCGGATCCGTAGTATGCATTTCAAGACATGATGGCTTTGTGTGTGTCGGTCATTGCCTTTGAAGCTGGTTTCAGCTCCAGTATAAACTAGTAGCAGCAATGTTGAATTGCTTTGTTTTCTGGGAATGGCACTGCCCCCATCTGTAGCGCACATGCCTCAGGACCTGCTTGAGAAAACAATCTAGAGGACATTCTGTACTGGCTCTGCTGGTAATATGCAGGCGTGACTGGATGACTTCCAAATTAACTGTTTTACTTTTCCAGTTTATTTTATTTTTTGATTGCACTTTAATTCGCGTAATCATTTTAACCTTCAATTCTCGTTTGATATTTAATTTGGTTTCTAATTTCTGCCTAAATTAAAGCTGACTTTTTTTTGTTTTTTGCTCAGTTCTGCTGTCATATTATGGGGCTTCTGTCTATGCAGCAAGTATTAAGTTTAATTGAGCTATAACATTTTAAAGTGACACTGAACGCGGGAGTTAAATCTTAAATGCATTCCAGTATCTTAACTATTAGAAAAAATGTATCTTATTTGTGTATCACTCGGCTGTAGATCCTCAAATCATCTCTGAACTGGAGCTGACACTGTCCTTCCTTCTGGAGGGGGGCTACTTTTGTTCCCCATGGTCCCTGTGTGTTGTAAAGTAGTCACCGCTCCAAGATCACTCCTGTGATACAATCTCAGATTTAGTTTACTAATTTGTATTGCGATTGTAGTCTATCACAGGAGCGAGCTTGGAGCGGTGGCTACTTTACAACACACAGGGACCATGGGGAACAAAAGTAGTCACTCTCCAGAAGAAAGGACAGTGTTGGCACCAATTCAGAGATGATTGGAGGATCTACACAAATAAGATCAGGGGTGTGGAATTCGTATCACCCGACGCTCGGGACATGTAGTTCCGGGCGCCTGGCAAGTGTTTTTTCCAGTGTTTTAGCCCTGCTACAGACAAGTAGCAGGGCTGATTTATTTTTTTTGTAACTGAGCGGCAAGAGCAGAGGGCGTGAAGCGGTGACAGAGCCGGACGGTGGAGCTGTGACCAGGCTCTGTCACCTCCCTCAGCCCCTGTCCCCGGCCGCTGCTCGTTCCTGTCAGAGTTCTAGCAGTGCTGTGCTAAAACTCCTATGTTGGAGGTGACAGGGTCAATAAAGAGTACCTGTCACCTCCAAATGCTATCACACAGGGCTTGTTAGCGCCTGTGTGATAGCAATAAAGTTTTTAAGTGAAAAAAAGTAAATTAAAAATGTTAAAAATAAAAAGGTGATTAAAGTAAAAATAATAAAATGAACATTTTTTACAAAGTAAATAAATAAAAATTAAAAAAATAAACCAGCCCCGAATAAATGCGCAGTGTTTTTCAACCTCGATCATGTGTAACAGCACAGGCAGGGCAGTATTGCGGCGGGAAACCACGCAATCTGCCTGGCACGACATTAGAAAATAATGGCACTCCAGTCCCGCCAGGCAGATCGCACGGTTTCCCGCCGCAATACCGCCCGGGCGGTCCCACGCGTTCGCGGTTGAAAACACTGCGCAGTGCGTGTCACGAAAAAAGGTAAATGTACCTTTTTTCAGCGATTGCCACACAGATGTAACCCCAACATGCGGACGCAACCTCTGTATGCAACCGCACATGATCGCGCGTCCCGGGATTGCCCAAGTCTGCACCAACCCTAAAGGGTAAATTCACTTTCCCAAGTAATTTTGGAAAATGGAATTACCCGCACAAATCTCCCTCCCGCTATACTTACCTTTCGGCTAACGGTCCTTGCCATCCACCAGTACGGGTGTACTATCTGTACCTGTTCCGTATATTCTGAATTTCGCTCGCAAATTGCAAGCACTCGTTGGTCAACGCAGTCACCTGACGACGCTGACCAATGAGAAGCGCTTCTTAGCACTGCTAAATACGGTTTTGGTTAAAAATATTTTTTTTTGTATCAGGACAAGTAGATTGTCATGAAGGACAAGTAGATTCGGGCCCTGCTTTAGTCCTTGGACAAGTAGTTTTTTCTAAAATTTCCACACCCCTGTAAGATACTTTTTTTTTTCTTAATAGTTAAGATACTGGAATGCATTAATATGTAACTCCTGAGTTAGTGTCATTTTAATTTTCATGCTGTCTTCCTGTCTAATACAATGTTCTTTCTGCATTAATTTATGCATTGCGACTTTGTTTATTTGAGCTTTCCTTCCCCAATAAGGCAGGCCATAGATGGGCAGATATCTCCCAAACAGGGGGTGGGGGATCCAACCAACACCGGGTACTATGGCATACCTCACCTATCACTGATGGCGGCAGATGCCAGGTGCTTTCCAATCCTTCATTGTTGTAAGATGAAGGGTTTAGAGTAGATTGTGAAGACCTTTCCCAACTAGTTGGAAACCATTCCTGTGTGTTTTATCGTTATTCCCCCAACTTCCTGAGTCACTCATTGTTATTGATGGAGAAACTGCCCGATAAAGGGTTTTCAGGAGGGGAGGGGTTGCATATAGGGCTGCAGCTAACGATTATTTTCATAATCGATTAGTTAGCCGATTATTACATTCGATTAATCGGATAAAAAAAAAGGCTCCAGTGATGGACTACTAGTTTCTATTGTACACACACACAGGCAGCATTAAAAAGCTCCCGGCCGATCTCCACTTACCTTGGTGTTGTCGGCGGGCAGCGGCGTTGATCATGTCGGCGGGCAGCGGCGAATCGGGCAGCTCACCGGGATGAGAGGGCCAGACACATGTCCTCAGCGTGGCGTAAGCGGCGTCGCGTGAGCGGGTATACCGGCGTAGGCAGCGGGCGTAAGTGGCATAAACGGCGGCCGTAAACGGCGGGCGTAAGCAGCGGCGAGCGGGAAATTTGAATTTTAGCCGACGAATCGACGATGGAAAACGTTGACAACGTTTTCCATCGTCGATTTTAATCGACTTAATCAAATAACTGTTGCAGCTCTAGTTGCATAGATGGATGGGTGGATGATATACTCTCCATCCTTGAAAGAGTGCTCAGATATTTGTGGGGCTTTGGAAGCTCCTCCCTGACCCCATGTGACACCGAAGGAGCCTGGTGATTGGCTGCTGCATTGTAGGGAGTGTCCCCTTGCTGTCATACACAGAAGTACAAGGGACTTTGCAGAACTCTATTCACAGATGGGGGGGTGTTGTATTGTAATCTTTCTTTTGTTCACCTCAGCTAATGATATTCCATGATGAGTACCTGCTGTATAATTTGTTGAAGCATTTGCAACTAAAATATAATCTGTATTTCTGCAGAACTAACCCAGTGAAGCCAATGAATGCAACACAAAGCAAGCCTCTGTCCAACTTTCCACAACCAATCAAGAGTAATGAGAATACACTGAACAATATTAACACCAAGGTAAAGATATGGCCTTACTTGCATTTCTTGATGATGGTATTATGTTTACGTTCTTTTTAAAAAGGCATTCGGCTAACGTGGGTTTTAATGGCATGTGCATTAACTGCCCCCTGTACGGGGCAATTGGGTGCAGCAGTGATCATACAGAAGAAGCTGAAAGCCTGTTCATCGTTCCCATCCACTAATCCCTGCATAGCGAAGAACGTTCAGTGTTTACCATGAAATTGCTTTGGACAAATTCTGCTTCTGCCAATGGGATCTGGCTTTTGCAGAAAGGCCCCAAAGCCCATTGAAAATTGGATTAGAAATGGGAGGGAGAAAATATCTTGGGCTCACTAGGACTTGATGAAATCCAGTATGTATGACTTCAGGCGGCTGGAACTACGCCGGGCTGATGTCCTGGTTCGCTGTGATATTTTCAGCCTGTCCCTGTTAGATCATCGCACAATAAAGCTTATTCTCTGCGAGTATGGCTTTAATGTTTCCGGATATTCATTATTCTGGAGGCTGGCAGACAGTAGCAACTAAATCATTTAACTTGGTGGATAATTAAATAAATGTTCATCATTTTGTGGTTAATGAAAAACAAATCCAGCAAACACGAGGCAAATAATTATTGGCCTGCTGCTCTTAATAACATTTTATGGCTAATGTAATAACAGGTCGATCTTCATAACAACTAAGTCAATGTGCTATTCATTAAATCCGGATGAGTTCTTTTTTCTGGACTGTCTACTACTTGGTGGATTATGCCAGTTACACCGCTTTAGTGGAACATCATATTCTTGCATAGCAGAACATACAGTATGCCTATTTTCTCCCTGTATTTAGGACATGACATTTAGGGCGTGTTCACATCTGCGTATATACCATGGGTTGCATGCGCTACTTTACTTCCCACCGCAACACATTGTATTGTGTTTGAAATAAAAGGCAGCACAAGGGAACTGGCGTATGGTAACGCGCGGTAGGTGCATTGAGCAACAGTGAGGATATCACGCAGTTATTATAACACTATGGTGTGAAGGGGCCTTTTAAAGTCTAGGCTTACTATAGTTTTGCCTTTTCTGTGTCTTGATTCGTTCAGAAATGTTTAGTCACATGAACGACGTAGGGCTGGTCTACAGAAAGGTGACTTGCAGCAAACGCTATTTTGCCTTCTCTCTCTGGCATAACTCCATACAAGGCTCTATTTGCATTTTCTTAATTTAAAGGTCTATTATGCCAAGTTTTTTTTTGTATGTACATGTAAATTCTGATGGGCTGAGTCCCCTTTGGCTTTATCACTCAGGGTTTCCCAGCTCCGCTCCTGCCCATCTTGGAATTATTTGATTCTTATCCACTTTCTTTTAGGATCTACTAAAAACTGAGAAATTAAGGACAGGCCAACGCTTTTATTATCCTATTGTTAATCTTGTAATATTGTTGGCCCCAAACTAAGCAAAACATGGGCATACCACCTGGCTAGGGTGGTGGCAAAACATGGGCATACCACCTAGCTAGGGTGGTGGCAAAACATGGGCATACCACCTAGCTAGGGTGGTGGCAAAACATGGGCATACCACCTAGCTAGGGTAGCTGCAAAACATGGGAATATCACCTGGCTAGGGTAGCTGCAAAACATGGGAATATCACCTGGCTAGGGTAGCGGCAAAACATGGGCATACCACCTAGCTAGGGTGGTGGCAAAACATGGGCATAGCACCTAGCTAGGGTGGTGGCAAAACATGGGCATAGCACCTAGCTAGGGTGGTGGCAAAACATGGGCATATCACCTAGCTAGGGTGGTGGCAAAACATGGGCATATCACCTAGCTAGGGTGGTGGCAAAACATGGGCATATCACCTGGCTAGGGTAGCTGCAAAACATGGGAATATCACCTGGCTAGGGTAGCGGCAAAACATGGGCATACCACCTAGCTAGGGTAGCGGCAAAACATGGGCATACCACCTGGCTAGGGTGGTGGCAAAACATGGGCATACCACCTGGCTAGGGTGGTAGCAAAACATGGGCATACCACCTGGCTAGGGTGGTAACAAAACATGGGCATACCACCTAGCTAGGGCAGCCTAATCTCTAAACCAAACCCAGGGAATATTGGCTTCCACTGTTTGTCTTTTTGACTTACTGACATGTTACCTTATTTTTCCTCTATCAGAAATATGATTCTTCCAACCCTGCCACTGCGTATGCCGAGCTGACCCACGATGAGCTCATCCAGCTGGTGCTGAAGCAGAAAGACATCATCAATAAGAAGGAATCTCAGGTCCAGGAGCTGGAGGACTACATAGACAATCTACTAGTGAGGGTCATGGAGGAAACTCCCAACATTCTGCGCTCTGGAACACCGTTCAGTAAGAAGGCCGGAAAGGTTTAAACCCAACATAGACTGGCTAAACTCTTCTTCTCTTGATGTCAGAACAGTGCTGGACAGAAAATGTAATCATAAACCAAATCTGGGTATAGGGCATAGTACAACACTGTAGTAAGATGGAAGACTGATGTTTTGTCATCAACCTGTATGTTACGCCCTGAGGAATGTTAATCAATCTTTATGGGTGCTAGAAAATTTAGGAAATCACAAATCTAGAAAAAAAAAATGAGAATAAGTTTGACTATACAAGGTAACAGAGCTGTGGTTGTTCAATATAAAGGTAAGATTTGGAAATATTGGGTGGCATCCTCTTTAGTTGAAGTTAAGTTGCACTGTTTGGAATTCACCTTTATCTCTCAGAGCCGGCAGGCAGATCCTGTGGAATAGAAGTAACTGATAGCTGTTCTGGATACAAATGTGTTCCTGACTAGTTCCAGTTCTCTGGAGCTACACTGCACAACCTTTTCAGATCTCTTTTATCCAATAGTTTAATCTCGGGTCTAAAGTGAACACCATAGTGCCTAGATGGAGGCAGAGGAGTGACACCCTGAAGAACATGGACACAACATTTGGTTTAAAATTTCCAACTTTCCCACCTGATGTGAGAGAATTGTGGTCTTTTGGGTACAGACCTGTCTAAATCAAGACTTGCAATAGCCAAGATAACTCACTCAAGGCTAACTGGAAAAATAGCACAGTTTGCTGCAGTTTGGAAGCAAATAGTCAAACATTGACTCTATCCGGGAGCATTGTGGGACATTAAAAGTCACACTTTGATTTGAACTAAAGAAGGGAAATTGAAATGTGCTTACATGTTTCATACTGGCATGTCTTGTTATAGAAATACATATCAATACTTAAGAAGTCTAACCAGAAGTTTACAAAGGTTGGCAAGTCCCCCAGGGGACCCGCATGGCACTTGTCACTGGTAAAAATCAGTGGAGGGCTTGCTGAGCAGTGTGGTCGGATAGCCCCCCCACTGACATTTCCCCCTCCCAACACCACTATCCAACACTGGATAAAAGAGATGGCCGTTTAGACTGATGGCAGGCGGTGAACATAGAGCCGCACAACCATCTTCCACCCCACCTCTGAAAGCTCCCAGATGGAACATCTTCAGCCCTCCCATGCTGTGCAGTCCTGTGCCTTCTCTGTTCTCCTTGTACTGATAAAGTGAGCCCAAAACCTCCCAAATAACGGCAGCTGCAGAGGAGCACCGTCCTTCACAAAGAAAAAACACGTGCACAACAACACAAGCGGATACTACATTTGTCCCAGAGAGACTAGTGTGGTATCTGATGAATGTTTTAATGGAGGCAAGTGCTATGTGCACTGGGTCCCCTGGGGGCATTTAACATGCCTTTTCAACTTCTGGTGAGTTCTTCTTTATTATGTGTTTTTATATGACTTGACGCAGTGTTTTTTGCCCTCCTTTAAACCATCTATGTCCTTTAATGCTGCCAGTGTGTTCTCATCTTCCTACAGGAAGTCAAAATATCCATTTTCTGTTCTTGAAAAAGTTGTCACGGGCAAACACAGGCAGGCGTGCTGTCTCTACACGCGGTGCTTCTTATTGCTTAATGTCCATGTTTAGTTCTAGTCACGTCCTCGTTCTCAGCAGGTGAGCTTGGGTAGAAGATGTACAGAAAGTTGAAGTGGTTTTAAGAAGAGTGTTAAATGAATGTGTGCCCATTCTGTGTGTATATTTATGTGCCTTGTACATAGAAGCGTCTCTTTGTTTTGCCTTTTTCTGGTTTTATACCCTACGTGCCTGCTTTCTTGCAGCGATTTGTATGTGAATGAATCTATATTTCTATTTAAATGAATCTATATTTTAATGAAATTTTTTTTCAATGAACAAATTTTATATAGCTGTGGGTACGGCAGCAGTGAGAAAGCTGCAGCCACTCTGCAATGACAATCTGTGCTGAAACTTTAGGAGACTCATCTGTGACCTTAATTGGATATTTTATTGCTGTATATAAAGATTTATAGTTCTGTAATCTGGACCAGGCTTGATCTACAGCACATGGATCTGAGCATATGACTCGGACTGATCTTTTGAAGGAGACCTAATCACGTCTTGTATTTATTTTATAATGGTAATTATTAGTGAGGTATATCTGCACAGTCATGTGATTCATAGGCTGGATGGCTTGAATGTAGAATCGTAACAAACAATCGATGACATAAGGTGCATTTCATAAATGCCCTGAATATTCTACATATACCACAAGCTGGAGCAGCTATATATGAAGTGTCACCAGTTTAGCTGAAATTCCACATTCCATATACACAAGCAATAACACACACTTGGCCTTGATACAAGTCTGCACATGCTTGGCCTTGATACAAGCCTGCTCTTCCCTTGTTTCCTGTGCTAGCAGCAGCGTATCCTCAATGTGCCTAAATGTATTTTTTGCCCCAATGTAAATGTTAGAGAAAGATGCAATTTGGTTCTTAACGAGACTTTCTAAACCCCCAGACAGACATTATGCCCCCATTGGATAGAGGTGCCTTTCCATCCATCTGACTACCTGCTACTTGGGTGCAAGTAAGCCGAAATTGCCCCACTAGGGACACAGTTTGAAATAAAAGCCTGAGAGGCTGTAACCCTCCCCCACTCTGTCCAACACAGGTAGCAAAGTTTGGGCTGGGATGGGCTTTAACAGAGAGGCAATTCTTATGATTTAGCTGGTCAGCCAACCTTCTCTAAACCATAAAGAAGTACAGTCCATTGCATCTCATTATTGAGAGATTAAATGCACCAGGGACGGGAAGTGCAGCTGGAGAATACTTTTAACCCTTTAAAGGACCCTTGCTTTTCTGGACACGTGCACCTCTTTCTCACACCAGTGCTGCCTTACTACTTTGCACTGAAATAAAAAAGCTGCCTAGAAGACTGTTCCCTGCCTGCAGGTAACCAATTGTGCCTTTTAGGTGTTCTCTATGGAAGTGTCACTCGGTAACTGGATACACATGACTTCTTAGTAGCTAGCACCTCTTGCAGCACTTTATAAAACACTTGTTATACACTGGATGCTATTCCTTTTTGTAGTGGTGATATATTTATATGAAAAATAAAATGTATTTTAAATTTGGGGAAAAAACATTGACTCTCTGGTCTGAGTTCTTGGTTGGTTTTATATGATGTGTGACTTTATACAAGTAGCTGATGGAAGGACAAGACATGGCACCACAAATTCTAAAACTGACAGAAAATTGTGGTAAGTGAATGAATACCGTATAATGAACCCTACAGACATGTCCGCATCTTCTACAAAACGTTCAGTCATGTGCAGACTTTCATTAGATACTGCTTAGTCATTGAGCTGGATGTTTTAAAGAGGGGGGTGGCCAAACATCAGCCCTTCACCGGTGGTGAGAACTAAAAATCCCATCATGCATCTTCTCTGGGAGTCGTGGCTGTCAGAATCTTGCAATGCCTAATGGGACTTGTAATTTCATCACAGCTGGAGGGCCTGAGTTTGACTTCCCCTGTTTTAATCACTTGCCATCTTGACAGCTGCTTCTTGGATGGGGGTAGCGGTGTGCATATATACAGCTTTTCCTGCTTCAGTTAAGGCATCTTAAAGAATTTTGTGGGTTGCCCCTTTTTATATAATTTGTAGGTGCCACTGAAGCCAAAACTTTTTTTTATTTTTTACATTTATGGATATAGTGGAGAGGGATTGGGACACCTGTGTGTTTTATTGCTGCCTGTGTCCCTTTTAGGGAGAGTCACCTTCTATATACTGTATGTCCTGGTGAAAACAAATCTCAACTTTTACCAGAACAGGAAAAGATGGGAAATCTTGGATATTAGGTCTGGTGGCCCTGTTGTCCCCCCTCCCATGGATCTTCTTCCTCCCTTTTGGATGGATTTTCTCTTGCTTCCTGTTACGTCTAACGCAGTAAGCCCTGGTTCACACCTAGGCGTATTGCATATGCGTGGTTGTCGCACGTTTTTACCGCGATATGTGCGTTTCCGAGGGCTACTTGGCTGTATCCCAATGGAAACGTGCTCAAATATTTGGCTTCAGTTCTACTTTAAGAGGGGACTGGAGAGTTTACCATAATATCTGCCAACACTACTTACCGGGTTAATTATCAGTTGTAAACTAGATGCGCAGGGCTGCCTGTCCTAACACAAAGGGTTACATATCTCAAGACTTAGGAGCTACATCAAACCCCATTCCCAAAGTTTTAACCTCAGGATAAGAATCTTTATTATAGCCATGTGACTGTCATTTTCAAATCTCATTGGCCTCCCCTAAAAACTTTTTTTTAAATAAAAAAAAATGATCCTTATCCTGCTGTTAGCTTTGTGAATTGAGCCTTCTGTGTATGTCACTACGTTCACATTGCAAGCTATTCTGAACAATTTCAAGCTGCCTTCAGGGCCCATTCACACCAGATGTAGTCCGTTGCGTTTTTGAGCTGCATCAAAAACGCAGCACAATGATTTCCAATGGGATTCTGTTGTTCTGTTCACACCAGACTAGTCCGTTCCAGCCAGAAAAAGTACAGCTTGCACTATTTTAGATGCATTGAAACATGACAATGCATAATTGCATCAAAAACGCATGCAAACGGAACACAGCTAAAAAATAAAAACCCACAGATTTAGTAATGTCATCTTCTGGGGACTTTATGTGAGTTGATAGGAGATTAGGAATGGAACAGCTCTGGGAACATGGCAGACATGGATGCTAATCTAATAATCAAATATCTCTGACTGCCAGCATGGGGTGCACCCAATAACGACATTATTATATTATAATAACCTCCTATGTTGGGTGAGAATGGCTATAGCCTTCAAACAAAGCAAGCATGTCTGAGCTAGAAAATGAAGGAGGAAAGTGCTGTGACAGCGTATAAATAATACTTTTTTTTTTAACCTCTTGTTGCTAATGGCTGCCATCTGAACAGTCCACTTGCTGTTGCATAATCCGTTTTCAACAGTTTTTCCACACAGACTTCAAGAGGTGCTCATCCAAGGCTCTGGGGTGGGCTTACACCATGAACAATAAACTATTTTACACACAAGTGGTGCTCTGTTCCCTTTTTTGTTTTTAATTTTAACAAAAGTTTATATATTACACGCACACGCGCTATTTTAGGTATGCTGTGTAAATGGTAACACGTAGAGTTGGGTTTCTCAAATTTTACTGCAAAAGAAGAACCACACTTC